TCGGCTTCCACGGAATGTGGGCACCAGCCTTGGCGACCAATGCCAAGGGCCCGCAGGCCAACCACTGTGGGGTTGCAATCCTGGTGCCCACGAATGTGATGATCACGAAGCCTCCCGACGGCGACCTCATTATTTATCCAGGCAGAGTGGTGGCCAGCTTTGTCAATTGGGGAGTTCCTGGTGGGGTGATTGTGGTCAGTGCATACTTGGTGACAAGCATCGGTCTGACAGGGGAGAATATTTCCATACTGTGGGCCATCGCGCAGAGAGTCGCTTTCTGGAATGCTGCGGGCTTTGACTGGATCTTAGCGGGTGACTGGAATTCTGACATAGCAGCTCTGAATGCGAGGGGGTGGATTGAGTCTCTGGCTGGGTTGTCTTACACTCCACCGTCGGCCACGTGCTGCAAGGAGGACGGCAACTCGAAGATTGACTACTTCATTGCGTGTGCAAATTTGTCGTCACGGCTCGGGACAGCAGTGGTGGTGGACACGTACGGCACCATACCCCCTCCGCACTACCCAGTTAGCATTGATCTCCTGGGCAGCGATAGGCCAGCATGGTGTCTTGTGCCAGATGAGCCGAGGGCATTCCCAGTTATTCCTCCATGTGGGTGCGCGAGGTTCCCGTACCCGTGGGATGCAGTGGATCATATTTTCTTGGAAGTGAAGGATGTTTCAGATCTTGCCCGAGTTTGGGACACCTTGCTTGATGGAGTCGATTTCGAGTTGGCTGGGCGCTATGAAAAGGTTGACAATGATGCGATTTCTTTCGTCGGGCGTTCAGGCCCTCCACGTTTCAAGTGGAAGCTGTTGGCTTGGGAACCTCCGCGCCGTCGTACTTATCGCGAGCCAAAGGTCTACGCGTGGGCGACGGTCAAAAGATGGTGTCAGCATCTCAGGTCGGAGCGGGATCGACTGGGCAGGTTCTGTCAACGGTTACAGTTGGCTTCGGTGGTCTGCCAGCTTACGCCCCTGCAGTATACCAAGGTACTGCAGGCTTTCTGCGAGGTGGACCAATACTGCCGTAGGATCGTCCGCGACAAGAAGACCTGCCACCACTTAGACCAGGACACCGTCGACTTTCTGCTGCGAGGCTTGGGCATGATTGGCGACGCCGGCTTTGACTCAGGCTTGGACAACATCATTCTGAAGGCCGACGCGGTGTTGAAGGCAGCGAGGTCGGTCTCGGAGAAGGCTTGGCGCGGCTGGGCCAAGCAGGCGTTCCTGGGAGGGGCCAGTCAGGCCCACGCTGCCTCCAAGGTGCGCGGCAAGCAGGAGCAGCTCAACTTCGACGTGAACGCCCAGCCGTACCTGCTGGCAAACCACACCCTCGACGTGTGGGAGGGCGCCTGGCGACACCACGACCTGTCGCCCCCAGAGCTGCCGCCAGGCCATGAGAGCTGGCCTGCTCTGCCCGAGCTCGACCACCACCAAGTGCGGGCTGCCATCCGCAAGTTTTCGACGCGTACGGCAGCTGGGCCGAGCCGTAGTTCACCTAGATGCTTGGACGCTCTGTCGGACCAGGCGCTCGAGCGCATCGCCAATATGTTTTTGCTTTTCGAGCAGTGGCTGCCCTGGCCTCCTGGGCGGGTTTACAGTGAAATGGTTCGCTTACCTAAACCAGATGGGGACACACGCTTGATTGTGTTATCTCACGCTTTGGTTCGCCTTTGGGGCAAGCTCAGGAGACCAGTCTCGGCAGCGTGGCAGGCTGGCTACCAGTGCGACCAGATGTGGGGCACGAGAGCGGGCCACACGTCCACGGACTCGGCTTTTGATCATAATATTCAGCAGGAGGTGGCGCAGTTGCTGGGGGAACATACATGTACAATCTTGCTTGATATGAGCAAATGTTATGATATGGTTGACCCACATGCGCTGCTCCGAGAAGGCCAGGCCCTTGGGTTTCCACTGCGTCTTCTTTGGCTCCTCATTCAGAGCTACCAACAGCCCCGTCGAATAAGGGCCTTTGGGAGCGTTTCCCGAGCTTTTCGGTCCTTTCAGGGGATCCTGGCTGGGTGTGCCCACGCCACATATGTCCTGTACTTGCTCACCTATAGGTCGGTGCAGAGGGTCTCGAAGGTCTCCCCCGCGGTGGCCCCGAGGACGCTCATGGACGATATAGGGCTCCAGCATACCTCCCAGGACCCCAGGGAGGCCAAGTACCTTGCGCTGGCAGCGAAGGGTTTCATCCAGGACTCCAAGGGCCTCGGCATGATCTTGAAGGCTTCGAAGTCTGGGGCTGCTGGTTCTCGGAAGTTCTGGAAGGGGGTGCAGCACCACATGGGCTCCATGAAGATCCCGTACAAGGGCCACATGAGGAACCTAGGTCACGAGCTCACGGGGCCCAAGGTTATTCGGGGTATGGAAAAGAAGCGCCTCAAACAGCTTAGAGAGAGGAAGGCGAGGTTTTCCATGCTGAAGTCTGCGGTCGGCAAGGTCTCGACGGCTTTGTGGCGCACAGGCGCCCTTCCATCAGTGGCGCACGGTGCTGCAGTTGCTGGCGTCTACATCGGGCTTGGGAGGCTCTCCGAGATAAGATCGGCACGCTGTTTTGGGCTAACACTCGGGGCCCGATCGGGGCCTGCTGGTTGACGTTGCGACGTATTGGGTGGAACTTAGTATCTAGTCATATGGTGGCTGATGATTTAGGCAATGTTTTCGACTTGCGTGTTATGCGCCCTGCCGACCTGAAGGTTTTCCTCACCCAGGGGATCCAGCGTTGGCAGGACGAGCGGCTGCTCAAGCATTTTTATACCGCTGAGCCTGACGAGCAGATATGGCACCGAGGCTTACGCAACTCGGTGACGAGTATCAAGTGTGTTCGTAGACTTGGGGCCCTCCAAGCGCACTGGTCAGGGAACCTCCCCATTCCTCAGCTCCAAGATGCCCATCAAAAGATCCCAATCAGGCCGTGTGCAGCTTGTGGGGCCCAGTCTCAGGGTATTTGGGGGCACGTGCTCTACGACTGCCCCGAGCTGCTCACGCAGCGCCAGGACTTCTTGGACATCTCAGAGGACTTGGAGGCAACCAGAGGCATGCTCTTGAAGGGGGGCGAGTGGTGTGAGGGGCGTCTGGCTTGGGAGTCCAATTACCTGGTCTTTGGGGCCCCCGCTCCTCCTGCGGGCATCCCTGGGCTCGACGCAATAAGTTCGGAAGTTCTCCTGTGGGGCGACACCGATGGGCCTTGGGGCCCCGAGAGCTATACCGACGGTTCGGGCCTCGCCTCCAGTGTTCCAGAGACTAGGCGGTGTGGGTACTCATGCATCCAGCTGGACCCCAAGACCCTGTTGCCAGTTCGTGCAGTGTACGGACCGCTGCCCTTCTATGTGCAGACCGTTGGCCGTGCTGAAAGATATGCAATCAAAATGGGTTTGGAATTTCATCCTGATCACGAGCTGTTCGTGTCTGACCTCCTGGGGCTGGTAATTGAGGGCAAGTCTTGTGATCAATCCCTTCAGTACGGCCGAGGCCAGCGCGCCAGTATATGGCGCGAAATTTTTCAGGCTGCTCAGCGTCGTGTGCTCAAGTACCCAATCCGTTTCGAGTGGACTCCTGCACGCCGTGACCCCGACAGCGCGCTGGATAATCCTGAGGAGTTGGAGAACTGGCTCGGCAATGCCTGGGCTGATTACTTCGCCAAGGCAGGTGCGGCGCACCACATGATCGCCAACGCGATCTCTGAGTCGCTCACAGAGGCTTTGCAAATCCATAAGGCCACGTTGCAGTTTGTATCGTGGGCTTGCTTACGTGTCATTGTCTCGTAGAGTTGGGGCCGAGGTCCTCCGCCGCCCGTTCAGGATCCAGAGGCTCGTGAGGTTCTGGGGCAGCCAGTCCTGTTCGGCCGTGATTGAGATCATGATCTATGGTGGTGCAGGAAATTCAAGGAGCATAGGTGCAGGAGATGTGGGAGATCGGCTCGATCGGACTCGACTCTAGCTTGGCTTAGGACTGGGTCGGGAAGGAAATGTGAGCCCTCTAGCCTCCAGAGCCTGGCCTGTGCGGAATGGTTTAAGAATTCGGGGGAGGTCTGGGTCAAAGCGTCGGACCCCCGCATTGCCCCGTCCCAAGTGCTCGTCGCGGACTTTTTAGGTGAGGGGCCTTGCGAGGCCTCGGAGGGACCCCTTCGTGGGCCCGCGGACCCTCCCCAGC